TGAAGAGCCCTTGACTGCAGGTGAAGAATGTACCTCCGGAGAAGTACCAATTAGGGCTAATTGTTCATGATCTCATTGATCCATCAGAGCTCTGAGTTTCTAATTGAATTTGCTGTTGTCTTCCTAAAATGAAATTTTGTTGAGTTGCAAATTGTGGAGAAGCTGGATGTTTTTGTATCTGATCACAAGAACAGAATCAATATGATCACCCTTTCAAAGGGGGTTGTGAAAATCCACTCATCATTGTTACAGAATTCCTCTTCCATTATCCTTGTAAATCATAAGTGGCTCAGAGGTGCTGGTTCCCTGACACCTGGGAGGGAATGTCAGTCCCACCTCTCAAGAGCTGATGCTTTTTCACAGCTATTTGCTTTGGGGGTGGGATGGGAGGAGCCTAGATACCAAAACTTTGGGTAGCTTTGTAATATGACCTAAGACTGGGTAAGAGGAACTTGGCATTAGGCTTCACCAAGACCTTGAAACTTGGCCCAAAGTGATTAAAAATCAAGTTTGTGAGTCTTTTCAAGTGTACTAATTGTGCTTAAATTATGGATAGACACTCAAAAAAATGACATTCTAGAAAGTCTCATCTTGTGTGAATTTTATATCAAAGCTAATTAAACACTTGTTCCATCTCAAGCTTTGAGTCAAAACTCAAGTGAATGAAGAGTTGAAGAACTAAACAAGTAGGCATAGCTGTCATCAATAAAATGGATACACACTGCAGTGACATTTATTCTGATCTAGTAAAAATCAAATGCCTGAACTGAGCATTCTCTTTTTGATTCTTTTCACTAGGATGTTCGAAATATAACTGAAAGATTGTTTTCATAAATTGGATATGATACTGACTGCAGATCTCAATCCATCTCGAAATAGGAATTGCCAACACTCAAACTTGTCATTCTGCCCTCCGTTTTTATATGTCTGTAGTGAGCACTATACTCTTCCATCAGAAGCGAAATTAAATGTCAGGCTATCACACCCTTATCCAAATGTTATTTAAAATTTCAAACTCAATCATCTTTCTTACCTTATACACAAAGACTCACTTTATTCTTCTATGTACCAAGTACCTTAGATGTTTAGTTTCAAGGTGGCCATCTTCTATCATCAAAAGCAGAAAGAAAATGGCAGCATTTCTTCAAATAGCCCTGGGAGTATACATAGTGCCAAGATTTGTGCAATTAATTGTACGTGGGACAGATGTACAGGCAGAATATAAGGTGGGGAAAATGTACCTTGAAAATAGACTGCCTGAGCTCAAATTCCTGCTCTCCCACTTATGAGCTTATATAACCTCAGGCAAGTTATTTCAACTGTTGGAGCTCAGTTGGCTCATCTATAAAGTGGGATAATAATTTCACCCATCCCAAGGGAAGTGGGTGAAACAAATCAATGTATATAAAGCATTAACAGTAGTACCAGGGTAATATTACCCTTATATACAACAGACATGTGCTTTCCCATAATTCCATTGATGTCCTAAGAATCCCATATTTGTGAGTCAAGTGGTTGGTCAGGAAGTCATCTATCATTTATGCAGGATTCATCTAATTAAAATGCTCCAAGGTGAAGTTGTCCAGCAGTCACATGCCACCCTCCCCTTGAAATCAAGAACCGGTTACTTGTAGTTTTAGACGTCTTCTACTTGTAAGGAACATATCAGGAAGCCCCTACCTCATACTTTTTTTTTTGTTTATTGTTTTGTTTTTGCTTTTGCCGAGAGTTAGATAATAAATACTTTTTTATTATCATCACAAAGGGAAAGGATGGAACAGGTTTAGTTAGGGAATAAGTAGAAATCAAATAATTTTAGCTGACTCTTCTTCAACATCTGCTCACCCTTCACACACCCCTTAAAAGAGCAAAGTGCTACTTATCTAGTATTAGAGTTTGAATATGGTATGTCCTACAAAGGTTCATGTGTTGAAGGATTCGTCTCCAGCTGGTGGTTCTTTGGGAGGAGGGGCTTAGTTGCAGAAGTAGGTCACTGGGGGCCTCCTTGACTGTATGTCTTGTCCTTGAACCCTTTCCCTCTTTGCTCCTCTGCTGCCATGAGGTGTACAGCTTTCCTCTATCTCCGCCTCCTTCTGCTATTATGCATTGCCTTGCCAAGGGCCTAAAGAATCTGGGCCAAGCGACCATGGACTGAAACCTCTGAAACCACGAGCCACAAGAAGCTCTTCTCCTTGAAAATGTTTTTTTTTTTCTCTCTCTCTCTTTTTTAATACAGTGATGAAGAGTTGACTAACACATCTGGACTCTTTCTTATTAGGGATAGATTTTATAGATTCTCTTGAAAGCTCATCTGAAATCCCATGGTCCTCAAGAGTAAGGTTTCTTGGTTTGGGGATTTGTTTCAGGCTGTATTATAAATCAGTACAGGTACAGTTTTCTTTGGCCCTATTTATGATTCTCATACAGACTGACTGATTCCTTAACTTGATGTTTAAAGAAGATTAAAAGGAGAGAAAAGGGGAGGGACAGAAAGAAAAGATTAGATCAGAAAAGAAAAAGAAAGGAAAGAGAAGGACAGGGAATCCCTTCTACTCCCCCAGGCTCTACTCCCCAAGACAGATGAACTTTAATGAAGATGCATCTGTCCATCTATAGATCAGATACATTCCCAGTTTTCTGTGTGGTGTGATTGTTATTCTTTCTCATAAGGAGGAGAAATGATTTCTTAGTTCCCCCTTTTTTTCTTTTGAGGTGTGAACTTTTACATTTTGACCTAAAGCATTTTTTTTTTTCCTTCTATGGTTCATGGCTTGATTCTGTGTCTTCATTTTGGAGTCTGTTCTCCATAATTCAAATATAATTGTTTTTGTTTTTATTTCAATCCCTTTGGAAATTTCATCAATTTATTAGATAATAAATTCAAGAATACTTGAAGTATACACCAAAATAATTCAGAATAAGGTCTTGTTTATCCTAATTTGCTTTTCCTTTCACACCATAAAGCTCAAAACTCATTGCAAAGGTGTCAAAAAATTACTGAGTATGAGAGCTCCACTCATTACTAATAAGCACTTGGGAGAGACTGTTAGCATGCATAAGATAAAAATAGAGTGTAAGAAAAAATATTTTTAAAAGGGTTTATCATGTCTTCCCCCAATAGATGTCTTCTCCAAATTTTCTTGATCTTTCTCATCTCCTCTTACTCTATGTGTTATCCTTTCTCAGAAATAAGAGAAAAATCCCCAGTGGCCACTGACTTGTCACCTGGAGCAAGGAAAGTTATTGGACAATATGCTTTTCCTCTACTTATATCTTGATTTTCTACAAACTGCCCCACCTAAATAGTCATAATAATTTAAGTGTGAAACATACCTGTAGAAAGTTCTCTACCTAGATCATAGGTGGAGTTTCTCTATGTTTTATCATTGAAATCAGGGAATTTTGGAATAAAATAGAAAAAGCCACTGATAATTGTCCAGGACAGCATAAACTTATTATTCTATACAAAGGAGACTGAATTATTAAGAAGTAACTGCAGTAATTAAAATTTTATTCTATGGTTGAGGTTTTGAAAAGGAGAAATAAAAATAGGCATTATTTTGTTGCTATAATATTTATACTGGGTGCTTTCTATCTATTAACTCTTTGCAGTGCCTTTATTAGGTAGTGTCACTCTCATTTTATAGACAAGAAAACCAAGGCTCTAGGGAGCAGATGCATTTACTCATGGATGCAATATATGGTATGTAGGGGAAAGTATTGACTTTAGAGCAGTTAGAAATTATTAAAAAAAAAACTGACCAAAAGTAAATAAATTAATGAATGAGTGTGGGAGTGAATGAATGAATAAATAAACAAAATAATAAAAACATATCAGAACATTTTACTTGTGAGATGAGGAGAGTCCTGTGCAAATGACCATCTGGTTTTGCAGAAATCTGCCAATTAAAAATGTTCATAGCTAATTTACATTTCCTGTACCTGTTTTACTTTTACAACACCATAAAGATGATAGCAAGTCCCAGCAGGTAAGAAAAATCTCAAGACCATTACTGTGGGCAATTTCTCTAAATGGAAAAATGTATATACTTTTCCAGTCATATACTTACATAGTTGAAAAGAGTTCTTATACTTTTATCTGGCAATTTCTTGTCTAATAATATATATTATTTGAAGCCTTTGTACCCCTTGTGTAGACCAGTTGTTGGATGCTGGCTGCCCTGGGGAGGAGTTGAGTCCTTTGGTTGGAGGATTTTCTCAGACAAGGGCAATCCCCACCCAGAGACTCAGGTAGCTGTGTGATGTTAAGCCAGTTACTTTATCCTGTTTATTAATCTTTTGGATTAATACTTATCACCTTATGTACTGTACATAGCTATTGTGAAAATCAATGAAATGACACTGTATCTCAAAGTATCTCAAGATATAAACCTTGAATATCAGAGATGCTGTTGTCAGTCCTACAGCCCTGGATGAATTATGCCTTCATGTAGAGTCGTCAGGACTTGTGAGGAGCTTTCAAAGTGAGGTCATTCAGGGATACACTCTGTCTTTGGAAATGTTCATAATAGCCAGCTGTGTTGAGTGGATTTCTTCTCTCTGTGTTCCATTAGGCACTATCTTTAGGAGGGTAAATATGGTGGTTGGTGAGTATCCATCACATACTGAGTGTGGCAAACAGACTCTTAAGATGGGTCCAATTAGCCCTATCCCTTGCCATCCTTGCTCATCTTTGATTCTCTTTCCTTAAGTGTAGGCAGAAATTGTGATTTGCTACAGACCAATAGAATATAGATGGGCTGGGGTTGTGGCTCAGCAGTAGAGTGCTCATCTAGCACGTGAAAGGCCCTGGGTTGGATCCTCAGCACCACATAAAAATAAATAAAAATAAAGGTATTGTGTTTAACTACTTAAAAAAATATAGCAAAGATGATGGTTTGTCACTTCTATGATTTTGTGACATTAGATTGTATTGTGTTCTTTCTTGTTTGCTGACTCTTGTTAACTCACTTCCTTTCTGGGCTTGATGAAATTGGCAGTTATTGGAGAAAGCTGCACACGTCAAAGAACTGAGGCCAGCCATTGGCCAATAGCCAGCAAGAAAATGATGCCTTCAGATAGCCCACAGGCAACTGAAATCCAACAACAGGTGAGCCTAAAAGCACATCCTTCCCCAGTCACACCTGAGATGAGAACACAGCCCCAGCTGCCAAGCTGATTGTAAACTTGCAGAGGACCAAGTTAAGCCATGGATTTCTAACCAGCAGAAACTGAGATTCTAGGTAATCATTGTCTTAAGCTGCTCAGTTTGTGATAATATGGTTATGCAGAAATAGATAATGAATATTCTGAGTAATAGTAAAAATGAAAATAATAATAATAATAGTCACCATCTACTTTCTAATGTATACATTCCTGAGTAATTTCTCAGAAATGGGATTTTTATAAATTAACTCAATTATTTATTCACTCCAAATAGATGAGATGAAGTAAATATACTTTCTTGAATGACATGATATATGTAAATTGCCTGCACACAGTGGGCCTTAATGGATTCTAGTTAATTTGTTTGCGAGTTTTTTTTTTGTATTGGTGAATATTAGTTATATAGAACAGTGGGTTTCATTGTGGTATATTCATACATATTATAATATGGAAGAGGCAAATGCAACTTAATTGAACAAACACACCCTTGATAGGCAAATGGCAGGGAAAGATTGTTTATTAATGGAACTGAGAGCAAAACTCTAGCAGAGGATGCTATAGCTCTTATTTCATTGTGATTAGATTCATCAACTTAGGTGGCCACTGATTAGATCAGTTTGCTTAGTGTAGCCAGGTCTTTACTAATGAAAGAGAGAAATGGTTTGGACATAAATTCCTTGAGGCTATTCAGATTTCTGAAAGGGCTCAGGGGATTCCATGTTCATGACTCTAATGTGCATGTTTCTTAGATGGAAATTTTTTTAATTCATTTAGTAAGTATTTATTAAATTCCTATTATAAGCCTGGTACTTGCTGTGATACTATATTTTTAATTTTAACAGAATATACAGTTCTTCACTATTGGCTTTTGTTTACCTGCTGTTTCATGATACTTTTTTTTTAAAGTTCGAATTGTTTAAGTATTTAATCTAGAATGGCATACTATTCAGCAATACAAGGAATAAACTCTATATAAAACCACCTGTATGAATCCCAATGCCATTTTGCTGAATGAAAACAGATGAAAGAGAAAACACATTTATGATTCCATTCATATAAAATTCTACAAAATTTTATAATAGTAGTTATAACTACTGTCTATGCTGTTGTAATTTCTTTGGGGGATTTTTTTTTTCTCAGGGGCGAGAACATTTTCATGTCCTACTTAAGAAGTCTGTCTCTGAACAAGGTATGCATTTACATTTGAGATTTAATGGGTATGTGAACATCTGAGTAGACTGACAAAATAACTCATCACAGGCAAAGAGTGGGCTTTGCAAACATAAATTCTTTCCTTTCAAATGTTTTGGAATGTATTTGCATTTCCTTTCCTTCACATTGAAGATGTATGAAATTTTACCTAAATCTTTTTTTTTTTTGAAGAGACAAAAATAATCCACCTGTTGTGACTATTTGATTTGAGAAATGGAATGATCTGAATGTCTGAGAAATAATTCTTGTTCATTATTTATGCTATTCAGAATTAATTTTTTTCTTTTTCTTTTCTGATTTCCGTTTCTTTATCCTTCCCTTTTTGTTATAGGAAAATATCCCAAGATTTCTTCCAATTTATTTGGTTTTCTGCAATATCTAACCTGATCTTCATTGTTTCCAGTGACTTTTGATTAGACAGTTTGATTTCTCATCTTCAAGAACTCCCTACTGTATCAAAGTGCTGCCCTTTCATGACTGCTGGCTTTTATTTTGTGGATGTATTACTCTTAGAGATATAATCAGGTGACAAATTGAAGATGTTTGGGATTTTCTCCCTTTCTTTCTCTGCTTTTTGTAGTGATACCGATTCTACTTTCTCAGGTGGGTCCTCTTGCTTCTAGGTCTGATGTATTTATGTGTTTTAGTGTGTTTTGTGAACACAGTTTATGTCTTCATTCTACTCTTGGTGAACTTTTGCACTTTTTCTGGTTTGGGGATATTGCAGTTATGGGGATATTTAAACATTTTTTTCTGTTTCATACAAACTAACTTGTTTTGGTTAAATAAAAGAGAGTTGAATGCAGGTCATGTATATGTATGTCTTCAATTTTACTGGATAATGCCCAATGGTTACCCAAACTAGTCGTACCATTTTATTATCATACATTTTACATGCACGGTGGTGAATGTTTTTGATTGTAAGACTCAGCAGCAGAGGTAGTTAATACCCCTCCCATATACTCTGGCACTCACCATTTTCATGCATGACCAAATCAAGGGGCTCCTAACTGCAAGCACCTGTGACTCTTTGCCTGAGGGCTTTCTTTTGCCCTCAGCCCCTACTTAGCTCACAAGTGGAACATACTCGAAATGCTAGAAATTAACCTTCTCTCCACCTGCCCCTGGAAGTTGCCCTCAACAAATTCCTAATTATAATGATGTATAATAACTCCATATCTTTCTTCCCACCAGTGAAATGACTCTGATGTGCATCTATCATCTCTTAGGACTTTTTCAGAGGATAAAGCTCTCTATTTGCTTGTAGTCATGACTTTCTCAACGATGACCGTTTCCTGGCTTCCTTCTCTGTCCCCTACTTTCCTGCTTCTGTATTAGTATTTCATGACCTCCTCCTCTTCCAGGTGAATTATTTGATCCATCACTGAAACTTCTCCACATTTATGGATTTAGCCTCCATTCTGCCTTCCCACACAGCCTTATGACCTTCCTTTCATTATAACACTTCTCATACTACATGGTATTCCATGATGAATGTAAGCTCCATGTGGGCAGGGCCATGCCCACCTTTATGTTCTATCTCTAGTTAGTCTATCATGAGTTCCTGGTATGTAGCAGGCATCTAGTATTTCCTAGAGGAATGACTGTTTATAATAGCATCAGGTGAGTAAAGAGAACCCATAATAGAAAAAAAAAGCAGAGAAAGGTAAAGGTTAATATAAGAAGGTCAAAGTCGTGGAGGATCTTAGAGGTGGAAAGAGCATGTGCAAAGACCCAGAAATGGGAATGTGACGGACTATTCTAGGGTAAGCCAATAGAACAGTGTACTCAGAGGAAAACACAGGAAGAGTGATAGGAGGCAAAACAGAGTAGTTATAGATAAACATTATGATAAATGAATGAATAAATAAATGCATAATGAAGTATTTGAATGAATACCTGTGGGAAGCAGAAAGGTGCAATGAAAATATTATGACTTTAGTGAGACAGACATATCTTCTCATGACTCAGTTTCCTAATGTATAAAATGAGAACATTAAAGCTTCATAGAGAGGAGTTGAGGATTGAAAGAGGGTATGTGTCAAGATCAGAATCTATGGCCAAGTTAAAAAAAAGAAATCCTCAATGAGAAATGATCAGGAGATGGGCTGGGGATGTGGCTCAAGCGGTAGCGCGCTCGCCTGGCATGCGTGCGGCCGGGGTTCGATCCTCAGCACCACATACCAACAAAGATGTTGTGTCCGCCAAGAACTGAAAAACAAATATTAAAAATTCTCTCTCTCTCTCTCCTCTCTCACTCTCTCTTTAAAAAAAATGATCAGGAGCAACAATCACAGCAGAGTTGGTAGTCATTCTGTTGGCAGAGGTAATATTAAAATACTCTGGTCATTTTGAGAGGAAAACATTACTTTTATAAACAATGGGAGGGTAAAGAGTAGCTACTAAGGGTAGCTGATTTTTGAGCTTAGTCATGAAAAATATGAAGAAATTATGAAAGCAAATAACCACCAAAAGAATGGCATTGCAGAAATTATACCCATAATAAATAAAGGGATTTCTTTTTTCCAACTGAATCAATTTGATTCCATAGCAAGTTTAGCAAGTGTCAAATATATTTCCTTAATTTAAATTGGAATCTATTACTCCCAACATAGTAATAGTTAATGTTCAGAGTTCACAACAAATATAGAAATCCATAAAGTAAGTCACAGTAGACCCTATAACAACAATCAGGAAATATGAAAAATATGTTTGATAATGTTGGGTCCAAATATTTAAGGAAAATTGCTCAGGAAATTAGAAATCTCTCTTTCCCACCCACCTTTTATCCTGTCTGCTTCCCATTCAATCTAATCCAACTATTAATGAGATTTTATAAGCTTCTTAATCAAACACCTTTGTTTTACAAGTGTGTCATTAATGTTATCACAGTGAATTCAGAGTTACCTGATGGATTTTGGAGCTTACCTGCAGTTAGGGACTCTTTGCCTTCTGACATTGACAGAGAATGCTAAATTCAAACCATTTGAAATTTAAGTAGAACACAGAATAAAATATATATATTTCCTTAAATTTATTTAAGTTGGAGTGTGTGTGTGTGTGTGTGTGTGTGTCTGTGTGTGTGTGTGTATTCTTTAGAAGTCCATAATAAAACAACTCATGGCCTTTGGAATACATCATTATACTAGAAGTTTCAAAGATCTTACATCTATTACTACCTGTTGCTTACAAAATTCAAATTCACACATCAATGATAAAGAATTAGTTACACCAGTGATGGAAGGATCTGAGGAATTGAACTTTGGATATTGTGGTAACCACAATATTAGCAACCACTAATTACTACCCTGTTTGTTTGAGGAATAAAGAGAATAAAGATATTATCAGAACTCAGGAACCAGGTTCACCAGTTGGAAGCCAGAAGCATGGTGGAATTTCCTGATAGGAACTGAAATCATGGAGGAGATAGAGCCGCTATTCAGAATGTCATCGAAGGGAGGAAGATTAAGTTAGGATAGGGCTAAATACCTTGGTCTGCCCATTACCATCCCCTCTATTCTTAACTTCGTGTGTGCCATTGGTTAAACCCCCCAAAAGAGTATTTTGGAAGCTTGGGAGACAGTCCACAGGGGTCAGACCACCATGATTCAGAGCAAAGATCAGTAAACAGACTTGTGGACAACCCCAGGAGCAGAACACAAAGGAAGATCAATAGTCAAAGTGCAAGGACCTTAGAGGGAGAGACCTACTTTCTAGAATGCTGTTACTAAAACGTTTCAGCCCCAAATTCTAAGTCCACGTGCCTCATCAGTTTGATATTCAAGGGAGAAATCTAATTTGCTTCTACTCTCCATCCTGATATAATCAACCAAGGTAAAAAAAATAGGGATCAGCTCATAAAAATATGGTGGGCTGGCATTTAACCACTTGGAGTTTCCTTTCAGAGGAAGAGGTAGGCATGTCCTGAAGGGCCATAGGCATCCACTGTGCACTTTGCCTGTCTCTACTGGATTTTAGTTAGCTGGAATAGTCTGTAGCTCAATTAATTAATTAATTAATTAATTCTGGGTCTGTATTCTTAAGTGAGGTTGGTGTATTTGGGGCTTTAACCCAAATACATATCATTGTTCTGTTAGCAACGTGACATGAAGTGAATAGCTTTGAATATTTTTGAACAGTTGATGTAGGATAGGGATTATCTGTCTGTATAATTATATAACTGAACATACCAGTGAATTATCTCATTAGAACCATATTTTGAAAACAAGTCTTGAATAACCTCTCATATTTATTCTCATTGTTTCTCTTCCATTGCCAAAATATTTTACCTCCTCAAAAACTTTTACTATACAAATATTTTCAAGTTTTCCTCGTGGCAGTGTGCATTCTCTCTTACATTTTAAATCTTCTCTCTCAGTTATTCTGTGCTCTCATTTCTCATTTTAGTGTGTTTTCTTTTTTGTCCTCCATTGGAATCTTCAAGGTTTGATCTTTATTAAGAGAATCTACAATTAAAAAGAATCCATTTTACTATCTATTTCTGCTTTCTGGATCACTAAAAAATTAATGCACTGAGCTTTTCCTTTTGCCTAGGAATTTATTTGACATTATTATTTATTTTATAAATCAGAAATTTGCCAGGATGTGCCAAATACCTCAGTTTCTTTTTACTACATATTGTGAACTTTTAAAAATTGGTTTAGTTGGCCCCCTGTATCACATACAGCCCAAACATACTTTGAATACTTGTGATTTCTTAGGTTTCATTTTTTAATGAACTTTTCCATTGAGAGATACGTTTTATACTACTGGTTGGATTGTGTTTCCTTAGTCACTTTTCATTTCTTTTTTTCTTGCCCTCGACGTTGAAGTAATTTGTCCCAGTTTGCTCCATATTGACTGGCTGTCAGATGCATGGAATTGTTAGTGCCCAAAGTGGGAAAGTCCTGGGCAATCAGAGGTGATGTGGTTACTTTAACTGCTTGTCACCAATTCAGTTTTTCAGAACATCACGTT